ACTCTCTCTCTCTCTCTCTCTCTCTCTCTCTCTCTCTCTCTCTCTCTCCTCCCCCTCTCCAAGCTTTAGATATTAACTTTCCACTTCAAGAAGAGCAGTGATTTTTCTCTCCCTCCACACAATCTCCCTAACTGAGCTGTTCTGGTTTAATATTCATTACACTTAATGCTTCTGTTTGATCATTTTTTTCACTTTAGGATTCATTCTGATGTAACTATCTAGTCTTTACCCGGGTGTGTTTTACAGGTTTTTTGATATGGTGAATAGTATCACTGAAGATATAGGGAAAAACACAGAGGAAGGGGAATGTGATGGAGATTCTGTAGAGGTAAGTACAACATGTCATACTTGATATTTTTCAATTTATTGAGAACTTTAGGCCTCTAGGAGGAATTTTACCATTGACTGCAGTGGGATTAATTAGGCTGACACTGAGTGCTTTTTCAAATCTTTCCCTAGTGTTTAGAAACAAAATATTCTTCATATTTCTTCTCATACGATATACATGATATGATATATATAGCACAGCAGGAACCAATGGCTGGAAGTTAAAGCCAGACAAATTCAAATTAGAAGTAAGGTACAATTTAATAACAGGGAGAGTGGGAAATCATTGCAACAAACTACTAAGGGAAGTGGTAGATTCTTCATCTCTTGATATCTTCAGATCAAGGCTGGATGCCTTTCTGGAAAATATACTTTAGCCAAACAAAGGTATAGGGCTCAATACAGGGGTAATTGGGTTAAAGTATATGGCCTCTGTTATGCAGGAGGTCAGACTAGATGATCTAATAGTCCCACCTGGCCTTAAAAATCTATGCATCTATTAATCTAAACTCAGCAAGAGTGGAACTTTGGTCAGCAAATTTGGAGAGTCTAAAATAGAGATTCCGCAGTACTTGGAAAATGTGGTTAGATCAGGAGAGCAACTGGTACAACATGAATTTATGTGGCAGCAGTGTCTGTGTTCCATGCAGAAGCTGAAGTTGTTCTTTGAGTGCTGGTCCCCATGTGTATTCCACAAGTGGGTACATACATGCTTGACATTTGTAGCAAATAATATCTGTTGGTCCGTGCCTGCAAAGTTGATTCCTTCATGCTCTGAACTGAGTGCATATAAGAGGTTGTGCAGACCAATGTCTCTCCAGTTCCTTCTGACCACTGCATGGTCTGAGTTAGTATCCTCTGTATCCAAAGTGATGTTCTTCTTTTTCCAGAACCTGTAAAAATATAAGAGTGCGCGCGCGCGCGTGTGTGTACATAGTTTTTAGCATTCTCTGTTGTAAGTTGGAAAGCATACCTCTGGTGGAATGGGAGTGAGGGCCCATTCCACCAGAGCACAAGCAACCTCAACAGCATCTCTTTGAGAAGTATGTATACTGGACATTTGTAAGGCTGCTACCTGGAGCTCTATCCACACCTTTATGAAGCACTAAGCCTTAGTCAGGCCTCTTCTGTAGATGTAGCTGTTGGGACAGCAGTATTAAGGCATCTGTACAAACTGCATCCTTGCACTCTCCTCCTGATTAAATACTAATTGTCCATCACCCACATGTGGAATGTGCATAGGGACCAGCACTTGAAGAAATGGAGGCTACTTACCTGTAACTGGAGGTTCTTCAAGATGTATGGTCCCTCTCTGTATTACACTACCTACTCTCCTTCCCCTCTGCTTCAGATCCTCTCTGATTCATGGTAAAAAGAGGAAGTAGAGAGGCATTTGTCCATGCTGCCTCTTATACCCTCAGATCAGAGCACAAGGGAAGTAACTCCACAGCTGCAGACCCCAACACCCATTACTTGCAACAAGTCTCTGGTCTCAAGTGCATGGTGCGCATGCGTACCCATGTGTGGAATACAGATAGGGACCACACATCTTAAAAGAACCTCCCGTTACAGGTAAGCTCCATTTTTTATTTTGGTGTGCAGTGCCCTCTATCTGTAGTTTTTTATTATTATTATTTTATGATACCCAACAATAGAAGTATGTTTATTATAAGAAGAAATATTTACATGGTTATGTTATGCAGGTAAAAACCCTGGTTCATATCCTTTCATTTCACGTTGATTGTTTTGCAGTATGACTATGAATATGATGAAAATGGTGAGAGAGTCGTTTTGGGGAAAGGAACTTACGGCATAGTTTATGCAGGACGAGATCTGAGCAATCAAGTTAGGATTGCCATTAAAGAAATCCCAGAAAGAGATAGCAGGTACAGTAATTTAATCTAATCCAAATGATGCTGTGTTTATATACTTCAGTCCTGAAGTACGATTGGCCACTTTGCTGGTTAATGAAGCCCTTTTCTGAAAAGCTGCTGATAAATTATCCATCTCTCTGGTTTTCCTGCTACATTTTCCAGTTCTGTAAGAAACAGTCTCCAAAGCTGTGAAAAACAATGAGTGGTAATAGCAGTTGGGAATATGGCCATCTCAGAATAAGAGTTGTGGGAAGGAAAGGCACCGCATGCAGCTCCAATCAGAGCTACGTATTATTGGCCTAGTTTAATATGAGGCTAACAATGGCCCAGGTTGTCTCCTGCTGCACAAAAAGATCAGAAGGTTTCCTCCACTTAGACTTCCATGGCAGATTTTTGGGATCTCTGGGAGGCTAGGGCCACACACATGGAGGTCCTGTACCCTGCTGCACCAGCTCTGCCCTTACCCCACCCACCCCACAGCCCTTAACCCACCTGCATCAGCTCTGCCCTTATCCCATCACTGCACCAGCTCTGACCTTACCTCACCACTCTTCTGGAGCTGTGCTGTCAGGAATCTGTCACCTGCCCATTGAAGTTTCTGAGGACAAATGGAAAGAATGTTAATAAGGACTGTGGATGTATTAACTCTCCTGTGTAAGATCTGGGGGGGGTTGAAGGGAGACCATGTGTATTCCTTCTTATCCTGACTCCAATATCTCCCCACCGCATGAACTCTAGACTGTGCTTAGAGGGCTCTGTAGGGCCCAGGTAGAGGGAAGAGGATGCTATGGAAGGACCTGACTACACTTCAGCATGGAAAACACCTGTTGATCTCAGGGGCCGTGGTTTGGACTAATAATAGTGTCACATTTACTGCACCTCTCAGACTTTGAGAGGTGACTTCATGATGATATACAAGTCTCTTTGCAGGGAGAAAAAAACAAGTATTAAAGGGCTCTTTCATGTAGCAGAGAAGGGCATAGCAACAAGCAGTGTCTGGAAATTTAAGTCAAACAAATTAAAATTAGAAATACAGAAATAACAGTGAGGGTGATTAACCATTGGAACAAACTACCAAGTGGGGGAAAGTTGTGGATTCTCCATCTCTTGATACCTTCACAGCAAGACTGTATGCCTTTCTAGAGGCTATGCTTTAGCAAAACATAAGTGATTGGGCTCACTTGAGGGGTAACTGCGTGAAATTCATGAGGTTAGACTAGATAATCTAATGGTCCCTTCTGGGTTTAAAATCTGTGAAAACTTTCTGAAGCCTTTTCCGTCAAGGCCATGCAACCTGCCTCTGTATCTATACTTTTCAGTATTGCCAGCCCCCTTATAATCTCAAACTCAATGGATTCCCCTGTTGGAGAGGAAGGATGGTCAAGTGGTAAGGATATTCACTAGCTCGGGACTTTGGCGACCTGAGTTCAAGTCCCCATTCCACTGCAGATTTCCTGTGTGACTGTTGACAAATCGCTTAACCTCTGTGTGCCTCAGTACCCCATCTGTAAAATGGAGATAATAGTTCTTCCCTATCTCATGGGGTGATGTTATACATTATGCTGTTACTCTTCATTTTTTGGAACTAGTCAAATATATGTGTTTTATATTCCTGATAAAGATGTTGCTGACATGCAGCATCTCATTTGTGCTGGACTCCTCCTAACATTTCCTGATCAGCTCCACCTTTTTAAGTATACCCTGGCATTCTGAATGAAGCCAACTACTATAATTAACCACAACAGAACACCCGGATATTAATTATTTGTAGGGTTCTTTAACATGTTGAACCTGAGCTGCATTTGTTTTTGTTTACACATAATTTGTAGTGAAGCCTACATAAAAGCTGGAATAAATGGTTTGAAGAATACAATTATTACACACCCTCTTTCATTCAGATTCAGTTTATGCTGTGAAATTTCTTCTGTATTTAAATTGTAAATTACATGCAATGGGTGCCATTTAAAAACTGGATACTTACCATCAAGAATAATTACGTTCATCACGGTGTTTGCAATATTTCCTACTCTAAGGATGAGAAATTCCACAAATATTGTGGTAAAGATCAGAACAAGCCTAAATGCTGCCATGCAATAAAAGTCCGTTTTTTAATGGAGCCCACTGTATTAAATTGTTGAATTATTTAGACTCTTAAAAATTATATTAATCCCTGGGTTCTGATGTGCTGTTGTGCTCAAGAAATTAGCTATGTATTGCAAATTTGTCTTCTTTAAAAAACAGCATTTTCCCACGTGACCAGAAGGAATGGATATAAGAAGTAACATTCAGACACACCTCATGGTTATGTTAAAAAAAATTACCAAAAGCTATAACTAAAATTGATTTTTCAAAAACATAATGAAAATGGCAAATCACTCAATTTTAAAGGGAGATTGCCATGGTTGATAGAAACAAAATTAATCCTACTGATAGCAATGATTTTTAAAAATCCTTCTGATCTTGAAAAATCTATCCATCTCTATAAAGCTAGGTTTTGCAACAGACCAAATACCAGTTCAGTACTCTCAGTGCCCACAAAACACATTTGGGGGAAGATTTTTAAGTGCTCAGTACCCAAAGTTTGGGGTCAGATTTTCAGAAAGCCTTAACATCCATTGAGGCACCCGAGTAAACTGCAGATTAGCAAAAAACCTCAGTATTTCAAAAGAGGTCAGTGTCCGACTTGCTGAGCTCTTTTGACAATCTGGACATATATTTTAATGCCTAATGGAAGCTGGCACTCAGGAGTCTTGATATACTTTCTCGGCTCCTCCAGAGAAAACAGAAAATCAGGCAGACAATCTGATAGGATTGGAAAGTGAGCACTAGCCCTGCCTGAAGGATGACAATTCTGTTTCACAACAACTTTCAAGGTTTTGAAATTTGTTTTTGTTCTGCATTGGAATGAAAACAAAATGGTTGGAACATTTTTGTGAAGTGGAATTGTCACACAAGCTGGTTTTGGATGGAAAAGCTCAAATTTTCAGTTCAGGTCTCTGTTTCCCTTGGATGAGAAGTGACCAGTGAGTCCTGGACCTCAGAAATCTCAATGAAAATATCATCAGAACTGATACCACTCTGAAACATTTTGGCTTTGACAAAATTACATTTTGGTGAACATGTCCCGACCAGCTCTAGTGAGCACCTCTCCATGAAGAGAATATGCTGTTCTCTGGCTGTGATAAATGTCCAGAGATGACATTTCAAATAAGTTTCCTACTTAGCAAGGTTCTCATCTAAATTAGAAGTTTCAGAGTAGCAGCCGTGTTAGTCTGTATCCACAAAAAGAACAGGAGTACTTGTGGCACCTTAGAGACTAACACATTTATTAGAGCATAAGCTTTCATGGACTACAGCCCACTTCTTCGGATGCATATAGAATGGAACATATATTGAGGATATATATATATATATATATATATATATATATACACACACACACACACACACACACACACACACACA